AAAATAAGAGTCTAAACTTATCCTTCCATTACCACCCTGGAAGTGTAAGTAGGACAATATCTGAAAACTGCAGAGGAAAATTGAGTAGTGCCATCACTTCATGTCACACAAACTCCCACGCAACTATTAAAACAAATAAAAATTAGCACGTTTAGTATCTAAAACTGTACCAGTGAAATGAATGAAACCTCTTCCTGTGCCATCTTTGCTTTGCGTAACACACTGAACTGTGCAAAGCTGGAGGGTGCCCCTGACATTTAAGTCACACAATTCTGCACAGCTTCAATACACCTGAGAAAAGTCTCAACTCCATTCCAATCACAGCAGAACAGACGGACAAAAGTCACTGCGTTATAAACCCCTTAACACACATAACAACTAAATCCCCACAAGCACAAATGGACAAGCAAGGGGTTTCGTAACAGTTTCTGAAGATTTACAACAGTTAATTACAAAAATAACATGTACGTAGGTGCAAGGCCAAAATGATGATGTTTTAAAAATGTTCTTCATTAATCAGTTGCTTAGCATTTTAAAGCATAATTAAAAAGCTCACGATAAAAAAAGCACAACTGTGTTGAAACTGAGCATCTGCTGTACTCCACAACTACAGTAAAACACACATTCATGTCAAAACTAACTGGAATTTTAAAGAGCAAAAACACATCTATCAACTGTTGACGTTTACTTTAAACACTTCTCAGTGATAAATGTTTGTTTCTTACTCCAGCGGAGTACTTCCAATTTCTAAAAGCCTGAAAGAAACCATCTACATGAAAACAAAGGTGTGCCTCCTGATGTAAACCGCTTAGCTGCGTCTCTCCCACAATGCAAGAGCTACCTACGTAGTTCTGATGCTTTAAAAGACAGAGAAAGAGAGGGTAACCAGACTCGAGATTCATTTTGTTACTGCACTGTGGGTAAGGTCGGGTTCACAACTGCCAGAGGAGCTCTCCAAAAGCTCTTCCAAATCAGAACTTCTTAGCTAATGTTATAACTAAGGTAATTATACAACAAAGACCTCTGACTTGAAACAACAACTCTTCGTTAAAGACAATTCCTTTTTAAACATCATTAATGTATTGTATTAAAAATACAAGGAGGGGATTTTTTCCTAAATCAGAATAAGAAGAATGGAGATGGGTGACGATTAAGTCAATTAGACCTTACAGACCGCATTTAGAATTAGCATTTCAGCATTGCTTGAGCAGTGTAAATGACCAGAATAGCGCAGCTCAGACACAGCTTTATTTGGTAGGCTGTATGTTTGCTGTTTCAAGACCTTTCTGCTTTTTCACTTCCACTCAAATGTGAGTTCAGTAGTGGGTCACACCTGGGCTTCTTCATGCAGTACCTTCTTCCGGTACCGTAAAAAAAAAGTGTCTATAGTTTGACTTAGGATTTAAATAAAGGGTCCAGTCCAGATCCCAGGAACCCAAAGATTCAAAGGTAATCAGTTTTAAGTGGATGTCCCTCCCTCATTTAAACTCTGAGAGGATCAGTGGCACTTAATTCTTGCAAACAGTGTTTCTGGAAGAAGATATCTTCTTAAAAGAGAAGTTCGGTAAAACAGAGTTTTGAGCTTTGTTCTTAGTATTACATTATCCTCCCATTTGTAGAGAAGTAACTTGGTATCTAAAGAACGTGGTTATACACTTACACTCCCGTTTACACACCCATACCAACTGCTCTTCTCTAATTCCCCCAGAAGATCCACTTGGGCTGCAACAAGCTGAAAAGACACACTCTAACACAGGCATTCGAAACCACAACAGATTAATCGCTTTTGACAGCGATTAGTATCCATGGGGTAAAATTACAAGTGAAATGAAAACACACTATTTCTTAGTCGGCTGAATAAGGATACACTCGATATTTTCTATGCCAAAAATGAGACATTAATAAAATGAGTAAGTCACTTACTAGTACACTTTCTATCCAATTTTAATTTGATTTTACACTGGTAATTCAATACTGAACAATCTATGCTTGGTGGGTTTCATCTTCAGTTGTGCAAGATTACTCCATGAACACCACTTCTAGAACCACAGTCCAGTGAACACATCAGGTGTTGTTATTTCTACTACCATCCTCTCATGTAAGGACATTAATTATTCCAAGGTGAAATCTGGGAAAAAAAAAATCACAAAATCTTGCAAAATAAAAATCAGTATCTCTGGATGCTCTCATAAACAAGCATCTTAAAACTGACACTTTGCAGCCCATTAACTGCATCTGTGAAATGGTCACCATTTTCACAGAGTCAGAGTGAGAGGGGTTGGAAGGGACCTCTAGAGATCATCTAGTCCAACCCCCTGCCAGAGCAGGATCCCCTAGAGTAGATCACACAGGAACAAGTCCAGGGGCTTTGGAAAGTCTCCAGGGAAGGAGACTCCACCACGTCTCTGGGCAGCCTGTTCCAGGGCTCTGTCACCCTCATGGTGAAGAAGGGTTTCCTAATACTGAAGTATTTCCAGTTTTCTGAAAAGCAAATGAAAGAACCAAGTAACTTGCTCAGAGAAAAGTGAGAACATGCCCTACTGCACACACAAAAGGAGTAACATATAGCTGCAGATAGAATGAAGTCAGATTGTTCAGTCAGCAAAAACCCACCAGTCCTTACTCTAGACCATTACTGCAACTGGGAACTGGACTCCATGCTTCTGTATAATGATTTTTCAGGAATAGAAAGGCAATAACACTAACATTTTTTAAACCACCATATGTGATTGAATGCTCTTTGAAAACAGCCAGCAGAGAGCAAACAATGCCTTATATAAATCTTTTAACTAAACTCTGAAAATACCCACAGATCAATGCCATATCCAAAATCAGCTAAAGCTCAAGTGTAAACTGGGTGCAGTTCTGCTTTCTGGACACAAGACAATGGATAGGAGGCACACTGAAAACCTGTTGTTTAGTCTCAGGCCATGAGGGCCGTTCTCAGCCCCCCTTACAATCGACATTCCCTTGAGCAACGCAAGTGACTCCGAATTCTTTCACCAACAACGAAAGCAGGCTGATGGGTGCTGTAACTTTTGCCTCTCACTGCTGAAGAAAACAAGTCTGCACAACAGACCTATTATTCTTCATCACTTCCTTTATTAATCATTTAATTTCTGTGACATACTGCAGGCTGGTTCGCTTAGCATTCCTTCTGCGCAAGCGGCCCTCTCAGCTCCGCGAGGGCAAGAGGAAGGTGTGGGGGATTACTAATCTGATTCTCAAAGCGTTCATCAATCTCGGAGAGATTTTTAATGGATGAGCGTTCTAAAGGTCTGAAGAAAATCAGATCTGAAGACATTAATGGATTAGCTCTTTCTTCAAAATTTACATATATACAACAACGTGTGGATCTGTGCCAAACCACCAAGTCAAAAAGGGCGTTAGAGAACAAATACCCTCCTAAAGCTAGAAACCTTGTGCCTGGCACAGCTGACACTGAGCTGTACGAAATATTAACAGACTTCACAGAGGCTACGTTTTACATGTATTTTCACATCCAAATATCAGTACTATCTGCAACACGATCCATTTTGAGACGAACTCCTCAGACAGTCTCAGTCTCCTTTAATTCCACACTGACCCAAAATAAAACACCCTTTGGAAGCAACATACACCCTTTGTCTTGACATACAAACATAACAGAACTGAAATGCTCTTTGTAATATGCATATGTTGTAGGAGTATCCATAATAAACTGAAGAACCACAGGTCTTGGAACAACATTTTCAGAAACAATCTTTGGTGCGTGAGACTTTCAGCAGACTGACTTCTCAAGGTTTCTAAGTATTCAAGTTTTAAAGCATCTTGTTGAATTGTTAGCCAGTTCTAACATCTCTGAAAGCAGTCTTAAATACTTAGTTTCAGGCCATTTTAATTAATCCTTACCACTAATTGTATCCTAACCTGTTCACATACTTTTACCAATGGCTGGAGATCATGCAGAAGAAACTGAATCACTCCTAAATTAAAGCCCTTCTGTTTCAACTTTAGAGACCAAAATAGCAACACAGTTATCTCTTAAGAACAAAGGTCACCTCCTAAATGCATTCTGTTGCAATAATTCCCTGAAACAGCTTACTCTTCTCTGGTACATGAATGTAAATATGAACTTCCACATCCAGAACACGACTTAAGTAAATATTCAATAAATATGCTTGAGAAAGTAATTCGGAAAATTATTAAATTGAAGTCTAGGATTCAAATTACATCTCTATTTAAAAAAAAAAACAAACCCTCACACTGATACTTTCAAAGTAATCATAAAACATAATTTATCGTGCTGTTTTCACCTAAAACTCAGCATCCCATATATCATCTTGTTTGCGATTAAAATATAGCAGGTAACATGGATTTCACTTATTTCCAACCACATAAAGTACAATATAAGGCTAGTCTAAAATTCTTAATTTCACTACATTTGATTTTTGTGTCCAAGACTTTCAGAATTCTCAGAAAAATCTGGCACTATACACTATCCTGTTAACACTGTTTCTAATATTAATTTACTAAAATTGTTTATAGTTGCAAAAATAACTATTTTACGTTCATAAGAATTACACAAGTGCACTGTCATAGAAACATCTGAGTCATAATAAGTTACAGGAAGAGGTGGACTAGTAGGTTTTATTTCCCAGAGAAGGCATTTGTTTTCCTGAAACAACATTTCAACTTGGTGATAGGAAATCCTGCAAGTTGGATATATTAAAGGGTTTAAAATATAAAGCTACACTGCTGTAGTGGGGCACACTTTTTATATTTTACAAGTAATTTTAATTAGCTGCTCTGCCTGCAAAACTAGAAAAATGAAAAAAAACATCCCCAAAACACCGGAACGATTCATTGGGATGCATTCGCTCCCACATGGTGCTTGCTGTGCTGCCTAACAATTCAAGGTTGGACCCCTGACATGATCTCTGAAGCTTCCAGTTGAATCTTAGTTCATTCCACCACCACACCGACTTTGCTCAAGCAGCCTTATTGTTAGATTAGCATACCTTCAGAGTTCAGCGTAATAAGCGTGACATTGTTCCCAATACTTTGGCTTCCTAATTGTCCGCTGTTGGAAACTGAGTCACTGGCCTCAGAGCCACTCTCTCCGTCTTCATTGTGACTGTCATCATGCCCTGGAACTTTCACCACTATGGTGTTCTGCCTACGTCCAGGAACAGCACTACGGAAAAGAAAAGTACATAACTTTGGGAAAACGCAATCCTTCATCAGGAATAGCACCATTATAAGGGAACCAAACACACTAATTGGCAAAATTAAATGCATTCTAAAAGCATACTCTTTTAAACAAGCCTACTCTATCCAGCATAATAAAACTGAAGCAGAAGTAGTAAGTTTTAGATGCACAATTTCTAAATCTGCATCAATGGAAAAGCCTATCTATGTCAAAATAATATTTAAATAATTTATTTAAACATTTTTTAAGAACACTTTCCACCCAGAATCTCCAGTTCCACTTCATTTCAAATTTACTTTAGACAGTACAATTCTAACAAGCCTTCCTGGCCCACTGCATATTCCTTCTTCAGTTGGTTCAATACACAATCCTGGCATATTCCCAAGTGATCGTGCATCCATGTATAAAAACTGTACCTATGGGCACTCACTCTTTCAACTGTCAGCTGCCAACTAACACTGACCTCATGCCAGATCATCCAAGATATTCCCTCCCCATCAGGAGCGATGCATTGCTCTGTACCTCTAGTGCCAATATGAGGCTTCCCTGGGCAGAACTGTCAGCCTGATAAAATATCCAAGTACCAGCTCAATGCTTGTCCCCCCACTATTACCTATAACGTTCCTTATTTTGCACTTCAAATTGCTGCAGAGGCTGATATTGATCTGTCAAAGGAGGGAACGAAGGGGGAAGATTCCCGTAAGTGCTACTAACTTGCTAAGGATATTCTCCAGAGAATCCGCTGCTCTGCTCAATGGCTCTTCCTGCCCAACCATCTTGGCTACAATTGAATTCTGCCGGTCGTTGTTCAGTATTACTGTAGTCTGAGGGACAACACTACAAGACAAAAATCAGAGAGGAAAATGGAATGTAAAGGAGCATACCTTATAAATAATACATTAACACAGGCCTATGGTTTAAACAGCCTACTTAAAAACAGAGACTGCCTTCCTCTTTCTGCCAGCGTCGCGGTTATGTATCAAATGCTAAAGCTGGTAATCCATCGAATTTGACACCTCTACCATTTCAAGTACTCAAATGTTTTTCAGAGGACGGATGGCTTCATTGGAATTATAGAAAAATCCATGACCCCTGGCAAAGCGATAAAGAATTCATCAACTCGAGATTCACGGAAGTCTGTAAATCACAGCTCCAAAGAGCCACCGAATTCTTGGTTTTGAGAAGCCCAAGAGTGAGTATTTTCAGAGATACTACAGCCAACTTACATGGTAATACACCATTTTTAGTAGAATAATTCCTAGGAAACAAAATGTAAATGTGTTTATTGCAAAATAGGATGATGAGCTTAGTTAAAAAGCACATATTGTCTTCCGGGGCTGGGGACCTGTGGAGGGCAGGGAGACAAGACTGGTACCAGGGTCATCAGAGCAGACCAGGAACAGGCTGTAACTTTAAATAAATGACAAGACTAAACTATTTCTTGTCTGCATTTCACATACAAAACCCAAAAATCTAAAACAAACAGAAAAGCATTTAGTGCACAAGAAACCAGGAAGCCTTCTGTATCACTTATGATGACAAGGTAGAAGGAAATAACTAGAGAAGTGTTGCACGGAAAAATGCACCAGGTCTACACCGTAATACAAAGGTAAATACAAATTAAATAATTGTCTCCAACATGCAGCTTATCATTTAATTTGGTTTCAGAGATTAGGAACATTATTCCCATGCCATTAGTCACTATTCTAAGGCATGGGTTTGATATTTAAGACTCTTTCCACTGTGCTCATGGGAAATTTGAGAACTAATGGTCATTTATTTTTCCTAACTGTATTCCTTGGCTAATTGTTAAAACACGAATTAAACAAATTTGATGACAGCAACCCTCTGTCTGTTTCGGCTGTAACAGAGCGCCTGCCTGCTTGAATATTCATCTGTCTACAGAAGACTAAGCGCTAAGAAAGCCATCATTAAGGCCTGAAGATAAGAAACTGTCCTAAGAGCTAACAATCAATGGATCCCAACTTTGGCACAGATAAAATGGTTGACCACAGGTTTTTTGGAGACAGAAAGCCACAGGACCTAATGCCCTGCCTCCCTCTTACTGCATCTGTTGCTAGCAACAAATGGGATTCCTCATGGGCTGCCAACGATCCCTTGGACTGCAAACTTTGGGAAGCTCTGGAAGACGTCTGTCTAACCAGAGACAAGTACAGACTGTGCTACAGCTTCTCTCGTGTGTGAAGCTCGAACTGTAGTCAGCAATAAACGGCGGCGTTCTGCTGCGTACTTTTTTTAGTTGCTATCCAGAGGACAGGGGTTTATGATGCTTTCATAATCACCTTTTCAAAATTTTCTCCGTTATCAAGGGGGAAAAACGCGTATTTTTTTATTTTTAAAAAATGGCAACTTTGGCCTAGTTTCCTAGTGCCAGCACTGAACAATTTTTAAAAACACTCCACGCAAACACTTGATAAAATACCAGTATGTGGCAATGCCGGCAGTCCTCCCATCTAGCAGCAATACGCATTCCCGTTACATTCCCCAAATTGTCCAAAGAGCTACATTTGAAGTTTTAACAGGCCAGTTTAAAATGTTCAAGAATTTTACACTTCCTTTTAGACACTGTTCTTTATCACCATCTTTCTTGCAATCACTTCTGAAGGCCTGTTTAAAATGTCACTTACCAAAGCTTATTTTTAATGAACACTCTGAATAATTAATTTCAGCTGTAGAGATAAATGCAATAAAATTACATTTATAAAGTCCTTGGGATTTTGCTCATATTAAGTTTATATTTGAAAAAAGAGCCTTAGCACTAAAAATTGGCATAGAATAAGGAAGAATTGGGGGGGGGGAGGGGGGGGGCTTGTGTTGTCGTAGTGTGTGCCCTTTTATTTTTTTAAAGGAGTATTCATTTTTAAGGAAGACAATCTAGAGTGAGCTGGATGGTATATGGCTAATTTAAGAAAATTTAGAATAAGCGACTATTTTGTACAATCCAGCAGCACAGATTTATCCCATCTTCAGTAGAGCAATCTACATTCAAGCTTGCTTACTTCAACGCATATACATTTATCCCTAAACAAACACCCATGAAAACACTGGCTCCTCTCTAGGAATTAACTTTTCCCAGTTAGTAGAGTGGATTATTGGCAGGAAAAATTCACAGTTGTTTTGGGAGGAGCCACTAACTAAACATACCATTTTACTGACTCGTATTTTCCTGGCTATACAGCACAAAGGCAAAACCAGACACCACATACACAGGGAAAACCTGTGTAACACGCAACAACCACCATCCAATTGTCCATCAGTTGTTTCACATTTGAAAATGAACTGTTACCAAGTTGTAGGGATTCAAAGAACCTGTAAAACAGTTTGGGAGGGAACAGTCACACTAAGCACAGTGCTACAGAACAGCTAAAATAAGCATTTGGAAATGTTCAACACAGCACAACAAATCCACATCCCGTAATTAACCTTCCTCCATGAGTAACCCACCTGAGTAGGAACTCTACAGCTAGTTTGAAAATAACTGAATGAAGTTCCTTGTCTGTTACCAGGAATCACGAGTGTTGGATAAAAGACTATTTCATCTTCGGCACCAACTAACACAGAGACGCCAGTAAAACTCACTGGGTTCTTTTTCAGTCTTAAAGGAAAAGGAATTTCTTATGTTTAATGCTTAACTCCTGAAGAACAACACTTTCAAAAGCTGTCTGCATGAGGAGGGTGAGGTAACCCTTCAAAAGGTCATAAATGTTAACCGAGAAACTACAGTTCTGGTCCATATTCTACGTGGAACAAGAATAGCTACAGAATCTGCTGAGAAACTCTGAAAACGAGGCACCACGAGGCAGGAATTTTTCAGAGTTGATGCTGTGAAAGTTGAACAGTTACTTAACCGGAAGACAAAGAAAATCACAATTGGGACCAATACAAAAAGGCGCCATTATGCTTGAAAAAAGGAGAATTTCACAAGATTGCCTTAGACCCCAATTTGTACACAGGAGAAAGATATCCATAGGATTCCCCATGCATCTGGGAACATGCTTCCCATTAGCTTTCCTGCGAGATGTTCTATTCTCTGTTTTCAGATTTAATTATTGTATAGAGACAACAATAAGAAATCTGCTGAATCTACATGAAATTAAACAAGGAATTCTGTGCAATGGCAAAATATTGGGCCAACCTGACAAAATCCAGAGGAACCCATGAAAACGTATTACAGCCTAGTGCATCCTTACTCTGGATTATTCCTATTTCTTTTTTCAAGTCTGTACATCGCCACTGAAGATGAAACAACCTTAATCATTATTTATGTACTAAAATACAGAAAACAAACAAAAAAAAAATCACAAAGGAGGAGGAGGAAAGCTGCTGATATTCACTCAGACCCCAAATGAAGCAATTCTTTCTATGAGTAATGCCAGTACTACACTCACGGAGAAGATGGAAAGAAAATATTAAGAGGGGTCAGGGGGAGTGCTTCAGAAACCCCGTGCTGCTGCAGAGGCTTCAGTACTTTCCATTTGTGTTCACATATTCCTTTCCCCATAAGCATTAAAACTTGGAGAGACTGGTTCTGCAATTTGCCTGTTCTTGGACACAGCTTAGTAAAAAATTTAAAATGCAGGCAACCTACAGACATTGTATTTTGGGAAATTTTTTTCAAATGCATTTTCCGAAATAATCTGTTAAATCAGTTAATTAAAGGTGAAAGTGCTTCTAAAAAATAAACATACCAGATAACGATTTTCACACATGCATATTTAGCCTCTGCTTTTTTATTATTATATAAAAGGACATTCTATATTTTGCATAAGAAAATTGCTGCCAAAGGTAATTTTCTGTATGGAAAACGTGTGAGTCATAGATATGATCATTAGACTTAAGTGTTGGTTTTTCACTGCCAATAACCCATCAGTCACACAGAATGCAGCCAGTGACATAAAAGAACCTTTGGCAATACCAGGACCATCATCTCGTCCTCTTCCCAGATGAGGTTTTCCTTTAGAGAGAAAAATAAAGCACAAGGAACTGACATTTCTATCTTCCATAAGGTACAAGATCAAAAGCGTTTCTCCAAATGGATGAAAATTACTTGTGGGAAAACTTTGGAGTGAAATTTTCAGGCACAAAGTTATTCTTCTTGTTTTCCTAGACACACTAATATAGACCAGATAACTGAATGTTTACAGCAGTGCTCAATCAGTTAAAGAAAAGGAAGAAGAGAGTCCTCTGTTACCATTCATGAGCCTCTGTGACCATGTGCACATAGGTAAATCAGAGCTCGGAGACTTTCAGCTAGCCACAGCGTCAGGAAATGCTGCCGCCTGTCCGCGTAACGCTTTGCCGTCCCTACAACGTCTGGAAGGCAGGGCTTCTCACCCTGTCCTTCTCACCTTCCTCGAGCGCACGTATTAGAAGGAGACGCAGGAGAAGAGATGAGGAAGGCAGGAGTTGGAGTTACTCCCGGCACGCTGCTTGTACTAAAGCTCTCCAGCCAGACACAGCCTTAAGGAAAGCAAGTCTGGGAAAGAGACCTGGAACACTAGTATTTTCCCGTTTACTGCTGGGGACGAACACAAAGACTGAAAACGTGTCGCTCACATGTGTGGGGGCTCTGGAAGAATGAAGAAAAACTACATTTTTTTCAAATTACATAGAAAAACACCATTTTAGAAGTGTGGTGGTTTCCTTCTGTTTTTATCTTTCCCCAACACTTGTGTTCACCTTTAAGAACAGCCACTCTTTGGATCTTTTCATCGCTGTTAAGGAAGATAATGTTAAAATGCTCCTTCCTCTTGATGACCACCTGCTTCCTCGGCCTTCTGCACACACAGTTAAGATTCCCTTATCCAAGCAGGAAT